TTTTCGACATAACGACTTGTACATCTCATTGCTGCAATGGGTCCACCTGTATCCCTATTTAAACGATTTGTTTTTCCCCTTCCCCTCCACAAATTATACTGCTCATCTCTTGATAGGCACCTAGGCACACACACCATATCTTAGGTGTGTGTGTATGTGTGCGAGCACCCATGCCATGACAACCAATTTTGGGGCTTAAACTGAGAGCCGTCTACTCTTGCTTAGCTATTTTGCTCAAGGTTCTGGCTTTTTGCTGGTTTATTGGAGTCAAGAATCTTAGATTTGTTTGCTGAGGCTGGCTTTGAACCATGATCCTCCGATCTCAGCCTCCTGAGTAGCTACAATTATAGGCATGAGACATTGGTGCCTGGCAATCTTAGCTATTTTGAACAGTGCTGCAATAAACATGAGAATGCTGGTATTACATGGTGTGCTGATCTTGTTTCCTGTAAATATATACCCCAAATAGTTGAATCATCGACTTTTATCTTAAAAGAAAAATACAAACAAAACAAAAAACAAGTGCTTGTGAGATGTGGATTAAAAGGAACTCTTACAGACTGATATAATGTAAATTAGTACAGTCCTTATGGAAGGCCTTATGGAGGTACTTCTGAAAACTCACAGATCTTTTAGAAAGGCAGTGGGATCATCCAAGAACATGGGGTACACTTCAAGGACCATTACCGTAGGTGATTTTATCTGGTAGGACAATAAAATAACTTCTAAATCAAGATGTCCACTAAGTTAGTGGTTCTTGCTTTCTTGGACACCACTTACTTCCCTAGACCCATCTTTCAGAGCTCTTAGTCATCTGGTTCTTTCCCCAGTCCTACAGTTCATGAGAGAATCCTTTCAAATTTATATATCGAGCTTCTTTTCTGAACTCCAGCTTTATGTAGTAGGAAATCATTCAATAGATGTTTTTGCAGATGGCTGGGTTCAGTTGGCCCATACCTGTAAATCCTAGCTATTCAGGAGGCTGAGATTTGAGGATTGAGGCTAAAAGCCAGCTTAGGCAGAGAAATCTGAAAGAAAGACTTATCTCTGACTCACCAGCAACGAGCCAGAAGTAGAGATGTGACCCAAATGGTAGAACACCAGCCTTCAGTAGAAAAGCTAAGGGAGGACACTCTGACTCTGAGTTCAAGCCCCAGTACCAACCAAAATTTAAAAAAGGTATTATATGGGCAAATGTACAAATGAATGTCTATATTTTGGATGGCAGGAAGGAACTTAGCTTTTTGTTTGAAACTTCAGAAATACTGGCTTCCTCACCTCATGTTCTCTAAGGAGGTCCCCACAAACATTATTTAATCCCTTGTTAAGTTTCTGTTTCTTGTTTACCAAGAATTTCAGAGTGAGTGGTACTTAAATACCACCACTTCTGCCCTTTTGCTCTTTAGCCCATAGCTGAGAAGGGGGGAGGCACAGAGGCCTGACCTGCCTTCTAAGTGGTGGTGGGTTTTCTTTTATTTCAAAGGTATTAAGGGTCAAAGGTGGGGCTGGGAATGTGGCTTTGTGGTAGAGTGCTTGCCTAGCATGCATGAAGCCCTGGGTTTGATTCCTCAGAGACAGTGCCGAGGCCCTGAGTTCAAGCACCGGGACTGCCCCCCCCCACACACACATACACAGTGAAAGGTATATGGTAAGTGTCTGCTTGATGCATTTGGTAACTGGTTATTCCTTGGCTTATTTTTCTAAATGGTTGTAGGAAAAGTATATTGTCCTAGGCAAGAAATTTGTTTTTAGGCTGGAGGTATAGGTGTGGTGGAGTACATGCCTAGCATATATGAGGCCCTGGATTTCAACCCTTAATTTCCAAAGGAAAGAAGAAAAAGAAAAAAAGCTGAGCACCTGTGGTTCATGCCTGCAATCCTAGCTACTCAGGAGGCTGAGACTTGGAGGATTACAATCCAGAGCTATCCTGGGCGGAAAATTCTGTGAAATTCCCTCTTCAATTAAGCAAAATGCTAGGCTGTAGGCCTGGTGTAATTGGCAGTCCTGAGAGTGAAACAATCCAAGGCAGAACATGAGGCTCTGAGTTAAAAATGATCAAACGGAGTCACTTGTGCTGAAGTTTCAAGCCACCAAGCTGAAACTAACCACTTTGCTTGGCCTTCTGAGAATCAGGATTGAGAATTACAGCCAAATTTCCGAAAGTGGCGAGTTTCAATCTTTTCTCCAAAAACAGGTGACTCAAGCAAACTGACGTTAATCAAGGACTTCTGCGTCACACTAGTTCTGTTTTATGTAATTTTGTCATAGGACAACCCTCTTGGTTTGTAATCTTGGAAAGTGTTTGGGTTTTTTTTGTGTGAATTGACTTCTAGAATTGACTTCACATGTATTGATTAGAAGCACTTTTGTACACATGCCTGTCTCCTATGTCCTGGCCTACAAAGCAGTGGCAGAATATTCCTGTCCTGTACTTTAGCCTCAGTCCTGGACTTTAGCCCCAGACACACCACTTAGATAAAGTGTTGTCTCCAGTTTTTTTGTAACTTGGAGTGGGAACTGCTATCTTCCTGCATTCCCCAGCATGCCTCTTGTAGGTTCTTGGGTTCTCTTTACTCTCTTGATTCCTGCTGCTCTCACCCCTGGGGCTAGTATAGTCCTCTGCTCACTGGTTTTAGGCCTTTGCCATGGATTCCTGCTCCTTGTCTTTTTGACCTGAATGGAAGTGCCTGTTAAAATGCAAATGTGATCACCATCCATCCAGTTACACCTACTATACCTTTATGGATGACACTACTTACACGGTGAGGAGTTCACTACCACTCCCAGTTGAGAACTGATTTCTCATATATGGTAATTGATGCTCAAAAGAAGATCTCGAGTAGCTTACCCAAAGTCTCAGGAAGGGACTGAATCTGAGACCTGAATCAATCCAGTCCTGGCTCCAGAACCCATTTGTTTTTCCTCTTTACTTTTCCCATCTGTTAACATGCAAAGACCAACTGCTTTAAGAAAATAGCTTCTTCTGAGTCAATATGAGTGACTGACCCAGAAATGTGGGCTTCAGTTATTTTGATTTACTTTTTTTTGGTCGGTTGTGGGGTCTGAACTCTGGGCCTGGGTGCTGACCCTCAGCTCTTCAGCTCAAGGCTAGCGCTCTACCACTTGAGCCACAGTGCCACTTCTGCTTCAGTTATTTTGAATGGCGTATTTCACCTTAACAACTTTCCAGAACTTTTTTGCATTGATGGTGGGGCTCACGGGTAGATGGGCTACTGGTAGGGTGGAGGAAATCTATAAGATAAGCCTCAGCCCTTTGTGATTATTTCATTCTTAGCTAGGTGTGTCAAGTTTATAGTCCAAGAACCTTATCTAAACATCAGAAGATGCTAGATAGGATACTAAGTGTTTGGTAAATGGCTATTAAAGGGTCTAAAACTGAACTTTGATAACTTTAGCTCTTGATTTGAAATATTTCATTTCTGTAATAAAGCCATTGTATTTAGCCATAGTTAGCAGTCTATAGGATGTTTATACAGATGCTGCTTCTTCGGAAAATGTTAGTCTCCACATTCCCTAGCATTTTAGCAAGACATTCATGCAGCTGGGATGATGGCCAAGGGAAAGGATCATGAGTTCAAAGCCAGCTTAGACTACATAGTGAAACTCTGTCTCAAAAATGAACAAACAACAACTACAAAATGATTCTAAAGTTGAAAAATTTTTTTCTTTTTAAGAATGGACAGGTAGGGCTCAGCAGTTAGAGTACCTGCCTACCTGTTGTGCCAGAGGGCTAGAGTTCAAACCCCAGTACCATCAAATTAAAATAAAAAATGGACAGTAGCTTCCCACCAACCCCTCAAGATAACTGCTCACTCACTCGCTAAGTACCTGAATATTTATAGGAAATATTTTTATCTTTTTCATAAAAGACGTAACTTAGGCTTGCTTCTATCACTTATTCTAAAATATTTTGGTTATTAATATTAAAATGGCTAATGTTTACTTTCTACCAGGAGCCATGGAGAGTACTTTGTATAGTGACTTACTTGGTTCTTACAAAACAAATGGACAGAAGTAATAAAATAATAACTAAATTGTCCTGAATGGCTATAAAATGTTTCTAAAATGGAAAGAAAAATTACTGAGAGATAAATATCCAAGATACTTCGTGATATAAAACACTGGCAATGAGCCTGGTACCAGTAGCTCACACCTGTAATCCTACCTACTTAGGTGGCTGGGATCTAAGGATCGAAGTTCAAAGCCTGCATGGGCTGGGAAGTCTTATCTCCAATTGGAGACTCTTATCTCCAATTAACAGAAAAACCGAAGTGACTCTGTGGCTCATGTGGTAGAGTGCTTGCCTTGGGCTAAGAGAACTGGGACAGCGCCCAGGCTCTGAGTTCAAGCCCCATTACTGGCAAAACAAATACAACACAACACTGGTAAACTGTGGCCTGAGTTCAAGGGCTACCAGATTATACAGGGTTAAAGTGGCTACTGTGACAGGCCTGTGGCCCACAGAGCCTAGAATATAGAATATGCCCCTTTTAATCTTTTCCTGAAACAGTTTGCAGACTCCTATTTAACAAAGAACTGCAGTCCCATTCTAGAATAGAGCTTTGTAAAATGGAGTAATGCACAACCACTTTGAAGAAAGAGATTAGCATTCCTGATAAAATGCTTAAGTGATATTCTTGATAAACTGAAGTGGGATTAAGGTTTGTTCTGAGACACATCTTCCACCCACCACCTGACTGCCAGTCAAGAATCTAATGTTCTTTAAACATTCATCTAGTCTATCAGTTATTATATAACCACTTTTCCTTATAAAATGCTGGGAATGTAGCTCAGTGGTCTAGCACTTGGTATGCCTGAGGCGTTGGGTTCAGTCCAGTAAAAAAGGAAAACAAAAAGAGTCAAGTTCTTTTCAGAGAACTGTTGAAATTCTAGAAGTTTCCCTTGCAATTCATATAGCTCACAGAAGTAAGACAGTTGAAGCTGGGGTGCAGGTCCTGATCCTGAAATCTGAGGGCAGTATCTGGTTACATTGGTCACTGGCAAGGTCTAGAAATACTGTTAGGAAGACTGGCCTCCTTCTGCTCTGTGCTGTTCAAAGGAGCCAGGCCTCAGTTATCTCTGGACCCCAGGCCCAACCAAACTAGGAGTTCTGCTGGTCAGATCCAGCCACTTGCCCAGAGAAATAATGTACTATTATGTGACAGCTATGGGAAGACAGCACTTCAGCATACCTTCACTTTTCTTGAGGGCATACACAACAGTTTTAGGTTTTCTAGAAAAAGAACTGGGCAGAGAGAGCTATATGTAATGACTAAACAGTCCCTGTCAAAGTAAGGCTTGCTTGATCATTATGTTGTTTCAGTGCTTGGTTGGGAGGCATTTCAGAAAAGTTGTTATCTTGGTCTTCACTGCTCTAGATTCTCCAGTCATCTTCCCCTTGGGGATGGTCTGTCTTGTGGAATCTGTTTTTCCTTGGAAGATGTTCTTGTTCAGTGATAAGTTGGGTCCTTCCAGGATTTCAAGAAGATTGTAAAGTGACCTCACAGACAATGGTTAGGAGCAAGGACATGTAGAAAATGGAGGCAGGGATGCCAAGCTTTTCCCCTGCTTTTTACTTATTCCCTGGGCTCTGCAAAAGCTTTTATGCCTCTAACAAAACCACTTGTCAGCTCTCTCTCTACATTTTGGGGAAAACCTAACTTACTGTATTGGTTTTTGACTTTGGGACATGGGCACATATTTGTAAAATAAAATTTTACAGCTGAGTGGTTGTAATGTAAAAGCCACAAATATATTCATAATTAAGGAAGTGAGACAGTATAGTGACATTACAGGTTCAAAGGATTTGACTCTTCTGTGGAGGTGGCCATTTGCCTTCTGGTTCTCCTGGGGGTCTTCTCTGTATAAGTCCTCACCAACTTGTTTCTTCTCTGTAGCTGGTAACAGAGCTTCTATTGTTCTTGGTGAGGACATGGAATATGCCTCTCAATGCTCCTGCCTCTTTGGTGTCTTGCTTTCCTGACTATGATTTCTCAGCCCTCCATGATCTATTGTCCTGGTATGCCAGCAGAATTCCACTCTTTTTTGCTTGCTTGCTCGCTCGCTCGGGCTCTCCATTCTTCATTCGTTCATTCATTGTGCCAGTATTTGGGCTTAAACTCAGGACCTTTCATCTTCACAGTGTTTTTTTTGTTTTGTTTTGTTTTTGTTTTTTCTGGCCAGTCCTAGGCTTGAACTCTGGGCCTAGGCACTGTCCCTGAGCCTCTTTGTGCTCAAAGCTAGTGCTCCACCACTTAAGCCACAACACCACTTCTGGCTTTTTTGAGTAGTTTATTGGAGATGAGAGTCCCATGGACTTCCCTGTCTGGGCTGGCTTTGAATTGTGATCTTCAGCTCTCAGCCTCCTAAGTAGCCACTAGTGCCATGCTCACTTAGCTTTTTCTTTTTTTTTTTGCTGGTCATGGGGCCTGAACTCTGGGTCTGGGCGCTGGCCCTCAGCTCTTCAGCTCAAGGCTAGTGCTCTACCACTGGAGCCACAGCGCCACTTCCGGCTTTTTCTGTTTAATGTGGTGCTGAGGAATCGAACCCAGGGCCTCATGCTTGCAAGGCATGCACTCTACTGCTGAGCTACCTTCTCAGCCCCTCACTTAGCTTTTTCACTCAAGTCTGGCTCTCTACCACTAAAACTATACCTCCACTTGTGGCTTTTGCTAGTTAATTGGAAATAAGAGTCTGGAAAATGTATCTGCCCAGGCTGGCTTTAAACCTCTAATTGAAGCCTCCTGAGTAGCTAGGATTACAGGTATTAGCCCCCATGCCCTTCTGATTCCACATATCTTTTTTTCTTTTTTCTTTTTTTTTCCTTTTTTTTTTTTTGTATCGGTCGTGGGGCTTGAACTCTGGGCTGGATGCTGTCCCTCTGTTCTTCACCTCAAGGCTAGTGCTCTACCACTTGAGCCACAGTGCTACTTCCGGTTTTCTGAGTGGTTTATTGGAGATAAGAGTCTTGCAGACTTTCCTGCCCAGGCTGGCTTTGAACTGTGATCCTCAGATCTCAGCCTCCCGAGTAGCTAGGATTATAGGCGTGAGCCAGGGGCTCCGGGCTTGATTCCATGTTTCTTATAGGACTTGCTTAGTTTCTAGTACAGATACAGACATCCTCTATCGCTTTCTTTTTCATTTTTTGGTGGTGCTGGGAAATGAACTTTCAGCACCAAGCTTGCTAGACAAGTGCTCTGCACTTTGAACCAGCCCACTATTTTGCTCTGGTTGTTTTGAGACAAGGTGTCAATTGTTCTCTGGGTTGACCTGAACTATAATCTTCCTATCATGCTTCTTGCCATACCTGAGCTGACAGGCATGTGACACCACATACAGCCTTTTCTGTTGAGATGAGACTCCTGAACTTTTTGTGCTCAGGCTGACCTAGAATTGCAATTCTCTCAATCTCAGCCTCCCTGGTGGCTGAGTTGACAAGCATGTACTACAGGGCCTAGCCCCTCCCCTCCTTCCTTTATTTTTTTTAGGTAGGGTCTCACCCTGTGGCCAGGCGATCCTTTAGCTCCTGGGCTTCAGTGGTTCTCCCCCCGATAGCAATGCCTGCAGACACATGCTTCAGTGGGACTCTGAGGAGTACAGATACAATGCCCCTTGTACTCATCCCCCAAGCCTGCCTCAACAGCCTCCTTTTTCTCCTGTAGAAATTCTCTGTACCTAGAGTGACACAGCTCAGATGCTTCTTTTATCAAAACTATAATTGTAGAAGCTTTTCTATATACTTTGCCTTTCCCTAATTGTCTGATTTGCATGTATTTGTTATTCTAGGTTGGCAACAGAGATGATTCCAATCTTTATATAAATGCGAAGTTGAAGGCTGCTGAAGAGGTAAAGCCTTGCTCAGTGTTTCTGTCACTCTCCTCAGCACCCCAATTTTTGACATGTATACCTCACCCTTTGGGCTCCTCCCCATAACACTTTTTCTGCTTCTAGTAGACATTAGTTTACCTGTTTTGTGGTGTTCGATTGTCCTGGATGCTTTCTCATTGATGTCCTTGCTTCCAAAAGAGCTGTTATAGTGGACATGAAATAATGTAAAGTGCACAAGTGACCAGTGACAGTGAATGATGAGTGGGTTGAATGCGGAATGAATTCTTCTGAACACTTAGGGTGAAGTGATGCCTAACACCAGTTGTTTTATTCACATTCTTAAAAGAAATGGACTCACCTCTAAAGTTTTCCTTCTACTTACCTGTTTAAACATTCATTTTTACAGGTTGGGATCAAAGCCACTCACATTAAGTTGCCAAGAACGGCCACAGAATCTGAGGTGAGCCCTTATGAACTGAGGGTGAAGAGGGCAGCGGAAGCGCTGACCTGTCTGCTTGTGGGTTTACTGGAACTTTAGGGACTAAGATACATTTTGCAGGTAATGTTTTCTTTGCCAGCTCCACCTCCAGAAGGTTCTTGAGCCTGGTAAGTTCTTGGGCATCAACATTTGATACTCAAAGTCAGAGCACAGCACCATTTGCTTCCAGATCATCTGTGGTGCTCCTCCAACGTTCTATAATTTCTCCACTGGTTCTGTAATTGGCTTCAATTTAAAAACCACTTGTGGAGGCTGGGAATGTGGCTTAGTGGTAGAGTGCTTGCCTAGCATGTATGAAAACCTGGGTAAGCCAGAAGTGGCGCTGTGGCTCATGTGGTAGAGAGCTAGCCATGAACATGAAGTCCTGGGTTTGATCCCTCAGTATCACATAAACAGAAAAAGCCAGGAGTGGCACTGTGGCTCAAGTAGTTGAATGCTAGGTTTGAGAAAAAGAAGTTCAGGGACAGTGCCCAGATCCTGAGTTCAAGCCCCAGGACTGGCAAAAAAACCAAAACAAACAAACAACATTTATGTATCCTACTTATATGATGTTCAACCATAGGCAAACAAACTGCAAAAAAGAATAAGCACAACAAATCAGTGGTGATTAGTCAGAACAACTGTTAACTGTAGGTGGGAGGTTAACTGAAGAAGAGCAGAAGGCAAAGAACTTTCTGAAGTCATGGAAATGTTTATGCCTTGCTAGCTACTCTGGGGACCTCTGGACCCTATCACACTTTTGCGTTTAATTAAAAGGAAATACTTGGTAGAACTAGCCTTTTTTCAAGTATTCAGTATTGTCATTTCATATTGTAAGATGTAAATTGGACAACATTTTACCTAAAGGATTACTTAACATTGTTGGACACTTTTCTTGTTGTTCTTCCAAGTCTTGTTCGTATTCTAGGGAAGTGAGTTTTAGTCCTCATCTTCATCTGGATTAATTTCAAAGTGACATAATTTATAATTAACATTCTTGCTAGTTAGCAACCATGTACTAATGACTCAGATGATTCTTTAAATATTTTTTGGCAATAAGGCTCAAATATTTTTGAAAGAGTTTGTAAATCATACTGATTTATTTATTTATCTATCTATTACTTGAGACAGGGGATTACTGAGTACCTCAGGTTGGCTTTGAGCCTGCAATCCTCCTGAGTGCTGATATTACAGGTGTATACCACCACATCTGGCTAATTATGGTGATCTTGCTTTTGATCCTTTTGATAGTTGAGACCTCTCCATCAGGATTCCTAGATTTTTCCACTCACTTTGATTCAGTCTGAGAAAACTGCTTGACATTAGCAGCATCTATAGTATCTGCTACAGAGTTTGACCTTCAAATGGATGAATTCAGAACTTGTTTCTTTCTTTCACCACAAGCTTCGTCATGGGCACCATGACGGAAGTGGAGACAAAAAGGACTGCTTGTTACCATGATTTGCATGGTTGTGACATGGGCTGTTGCAGTAATAAGTTGTTAAGGTTGACTTTCTTGGCAGATTGTTTTCGAAACACCTGAAGGATTGTGTTAGTCAGTTTTTCATTGCTGTGACAGTTCCTATTGTTCCTAAAATAATTACATTATGAGGAATTCAGATTTGTTACAGATCAGGGTTTTAGAGGTTTCAATCCATGGTTTTTGTTTTCCCATTTCCTGGAATTCGTTTCAATAAATATTATTTTATATGATCTGAAGCGTAGAAGCCTTATTATGTTTTTGGGTTCCTCCCCTAAGAGTACCCTCCTTTGTTCTCACTGTGTGTGAATGCCTGGAATCCTGTGTAATTTACCATGTTCCCGTGTATATTAGATCTAGCTTCCACAAATGAGAGAAAACATGTACTATTTGTCTCTCTGAGCTTGGCTTACCAATCCATGGTCATTTGGCCTGTCACTTTGGGTCTGACAGCACAATCCATGGTGGCCAGAGCACATGGCAGAGGAAGCCTGTTCAACTTCATGGTGTCCAGGAAGCAGAGAAAGGGAGGGAGAAAGGGTCGGAGTTGAGAGGAGGGAGGGAGGGAGTTCATCTCTCAGTATCTTATTCAAAGTCATTCTCCCAGGGGCTCAGTTTCCTTCTTATGGTCTCCCCCATTTGTCAGGACTGCCACAGGCCGGGGTCCAAAATACAACACATGGATCATTAGGGGGACATTTTGGATCCAAACAGATATATTCTAGTTAAGACAGCATCTCCCTCAGGGTTCAAGGGGAACGTAGATTCTGACAGGACTATAATAATGAAACTCTTGAAGGAAAATAGGGCAGCTTGACTTTTCCTTGGAAAGTTGTTTCTTCCTCTTTTGACTTGTATGCAGTAACAAATTGCATGTGCTACTATTACTTTTAGGTGTTGAAGCAGATCACATTCTTGAATGAAGACTCCACAGTGCATGGATTCATAGTGCAGCTGCCTTTAGATTCTGAGAATCCCATTAACACTGAATTGGTCATCAATGCTGTTGCACCTGAAAAGGATGTGGACGGGTGAGCGTGGCTTTCTTTCTATATTGTCCTGTGCAGTTTTATTTAGACTACATGTCTAGTTTGGGAATGCATCATATTTGTTCCTAAAGAAGAAAAGAGACCTATTATGTTTATTTCCCTTTATTTTTGATTACTTTTGTGGTTTCAGGTTGACAAGTATCAGTGCTGGCAAACTTGCTAGAGGTGATCTAAATGACTGTTTCATTCCTTGTACACCTAAAGGATGCTTGGAACTAATCAAGAAGACAGGTAAAATTAACAACCATTCAGACAACAGGAAAGTTGTTTCTTGGAGCCTACCTTGACTTGTAGAGGTATAGAGGGAAATATACTCTGAACCATGAGTAAATGGGCTTGATTAGAAAGGTAGCCTATTCAGGAGCTTTGCCTAAATTCTCAATTTTGTCAACAGACCTATGAAGTATGTGCTATTGTTATTTAACAGATAAGATAACAAGCTTGGGAGTAGGTGAATTGGCACAAACCTATAATCCTAGCACTGAGGAGGAAGAGAAAGGAAGTTGAGAGTTTGAGGCCAGCCTGGTAAGATCTTTTAAAAAACCAAAGGCTGGGGCTATGGCTTAGTAGTAGAGTGCCTACCAGCATATATATGCCCCTGGATATGATCCCTATCACCATTAAAAAGAAGAGAGGAAGAGAGGGGAAAGAAGGGGAAATAGGCTCAGAGAAATGAAGAGAGACTAATAGAGTCAAGATTTGAACTCAGTTTTTGAGTTCCGGTACTGGGGCCTGAACTCTGGGCCTGGGCACTGTCCCTCAGCTCTTCAGCTCAAGGCTAGCACTCTACCACTTGAGCCACAGCACCGTTTCCGGCTTTTTTCTTTTTGCTTATGTGGTGCTGAGGAATCAAACCCAGGGCCTCAGGCATGCAAGGCAAGCACTCTACCACTGAGCCACCTTCCCAGCCCCATCAAGCCCTTATTTTTGTGGAAATATATCGTGTATGGTAATATTAATTCAAAATGTATGAAAGTGTACACAGTACAGGGCACCTCTTGCACCTATATACCTAGCTACTCAGGCGGCTGAGATCTGAGGATCACAGTTCAAAGCCAGCCTGGGCATGAAAGTCCTTGAGACTTTTTATCTCCAATAAACCACTCAGAAAACCAGAACTGGTGTTGTGGCTCAAGTGGTAGCGGCTAGCCTTGAACAAAAAAGCTCAGTGACACACCCAGGCCGTGAGTTCGAGCCACATGAACAACAACAAAAGTGTACACAGTGAAAAGTCCCATCCAGGAATCTAGCATCTCCAGAGTGGCTCCAAAAGTAGACAGATGGCAGGACATGTTATGTCTTTCACAGTTGGCTGTATTGCACTTATATAGCTAGTACCTTGGTATTTTCATCTCATTATAAATACTTTTAACAGAGGTTATTTTTTTTTTTTTTGGAAGAACAACTAGGTCAGAAGTTTTAAGCAGAAAGTTTTGACAGCCTAAATGAAATTTTTCTGTGGTTAGCAAGTAAAGGTCAAACCAGAAACCTTGGGACAGCTATGACAGACAGTTCAGTCACTTATATTCTTCAGCATATTTAGCAAATGTTACCACTTAATGAAAACAAATCCTATGAACGACAATACTGTAGGCTTCCCACTCTATCTTCTTTTTTTTTTTTTTCGGTTGTGGGGCTTGAACTCTGATCTTGGGCTCTGTCCCTGCACTCTTCAGCTCAAGGCAAGCGCTCTTCTATTTGAGCCACAGTGCCGCTTCCAGTTTTCTAGTGGTTTATTGGAGATAAGAGTCTCATAGACTTTTCTGCCTGGGCTGGCTTTGAACTATGATCCTTAGATCTCAGCCTCCTGAGTAACTACGATTACAGGCGTGAACCACCGATGCTCGGCTCCCACTCTATCTTCTTCACTGTGAAGTTACCCTTTGCCCTCAGGCAGCTTTGAGTCTAAAAAATCATAAAAAGTATAGAATGTTCCTTCCTTCACTCCCTCCTGCCTTTCCTTCCTCCCTTCTCCCTCCCATCCTGTCACCCTCCCTTCTTCTTTTTCCTTCCCTCCTTCCAGTGCTGGTGATAAAGCCCAGGTCCTCACATCCCCAGCCCAGGCCAATATGCCTTTTAAATACTTCAGACTTTGAAGTCATTACTACTAGATGATCATGATGTGGACATTAAGCAAAAGCTAGTCTTTTTCTGATTAAATTGATTTTATACAAGATACATAATTGAAACAAATTGCCTCAAGCAAGAGTCCACAGTCCTCTGTAGAGGGTCTAGATAGCATCTTAAAGACCTTTTCTTGGTAGACAGCTCATTCTCAGGGTCTTCATGGTGGCCCTAAGCAGTGACATCCTCATTCTGTCCTGTACCTGACAGACATAGAATGGCTTTCATTGACTAGAGATGGAACAGAGACACTTGTCCACTATGGGTGCTTACCCTCGTCACTACTGGGAAGTAGAGTTGAAGTCAGAACTGAATAATGGATGCTAAGTCACCAAAAAGGAAGCCTTCCCTTACAATTATATTTCCCTGAAAGTAATCCTATGGCTCAGGTCCTAAATCAAAAGAGAAATTTGGATGAGGAACTGCATGCAGAAATTTGCCAACATTGGAAGAAACACCTGATACCAATCTAATTGCCTTGACTTCTGTGTTGTTCCATACACCTTAGTGGGTATAACTGTTTTACCCATGTAATTTAATCTGATAACTTCTTTCATATGGCTGTTTAACTGTATGCAAGGGTTTCTTTTCTTTCTTTCTTTCTTTTTTTTTTGAGTGTAGGATTTCTTCCCACTCTTCTATGAGTCAATGAATAGATCTTGGCCTAAGCTGCTCTCCAAAACCCACATAAACAAGGACAGTGTGCAAGTCCCAATCTAGCAGAAGCCCCGTAGAACTGAAAATATTAGCAAAGCAGAGTGTTTTGAGGAGGGTTTGTGTTTGATGCTAAGAACCTGCTTTCATGCACTTGCTCTTAACTTTTTGTTTAGGTGGCATGTGAAGGAGAGGTAGCTATGTTTTCCAATCTGATCCATGCTGGCTTTTCTTTCAGGGGTGCAGATTGCTGGAAGGCATGCTGTGGTGGTCGGGCGCAGTAAAATAGTTGGTGCCCCCATGCATGACTTGCTCCTGTGGAATAATGCTACGGTGACCACCTGCCACTCAAAGACTGCCAATCTCGGTGAAGAGGTAAGAAGGGGGTGGGAGGATATCTTACCTTCATTCTCTCATTTAACTCCTGTAATTATGCTGTGTTTGTTTCCTTTTACAAGAAGCATTCCAGTTACAAACTTGTCCAAGTTTATACAGACTTCATTCTGCCAGTATACTACCTGTTTTATTTATTTACTTACAGTCAGGCCTGGGGCTTGAACTCAGGGCCTGGGCACTGTCCCTGAGCTGCTTTTGCTCAAGGCTAGCACTCTACCACTTGAGCTACAGCAACACTTCCAGCTTTTTCTGTTTATGTGATACTGAGGAATCGAACTCAGGGCTTCATGCATGCGAGGCAAGCACTCTACCACTAAGCCACATTCCCAGCCCCTATACTATTTCAAATAGTCTCACTCCTGTCTCGACTTCCCAGGTGTTCGGCTATTCAGATTACAGGCATGCATTGTCACATATACTTTCTATACCGGTCAGTCTCATTGCAGACGGGACTCCACAATCTAGGCACTCTTCCTCCCTGCCACATGTCCCATACGTGTGACAGTAGTGGCCTTGGAGGTGGCGGTACCTCAGAGGAGACTGTGAACAGTGGACATCTGCAGAAACCTGCTCTTGATCCTGTGTCAGGTTCCAGCGATGCTCCCATGTCCACACTCTTATGTTAATACCGTTTGGGTGTGGGAGAAAGCAGAGAGAAGCCAAGCCCCCTCTAAGCCACTGCCCCCACTGCTCTGCAGGTCTCCTTGCTCTCCTCACTACCTAAAATGTGTGTGCAGGAGTGAGCCTGGGAGGATTGGCACGTGGCTCTCATTTGAGGCTTTAAGAGCTGGTGATCATTAAGCAGCTCACAAATGTCCTTTCTGTGCTTTTTTTTTTGATCAGTCGTGGTGCTTGAACTCTGGGCCTGGGCTCTGTCCCTCAGCACTTCAGCTCAAGGCTAGTGCTCTTCGACTTGAGCCACAGCGCCACTTCTGGTTTTCTAATGGTTTATTTGAGATAAGAGTTTCACAGACTTTGCTGCCTGGGCTGGCTTTGACCCACAATCCTCAGCTCTCAGCCTCCTGAGTAGCTAGGATTACAGGTGAGAGCCATCGTGCCCAGCTTATCATTCTTTTTGTTATTTAATTTCTGAAGTCTGAATCTCTTCCCCTAGGTAAACAAAGGTGATATCCTGGTGGTGGCAACTGGCCAGCCTGAAATGGTAAAAGGGGAATGGATCAAACCTGGAGCAATCGTCATCGACTGTGGAATCAATTATGTCCCAGGTAGCTATTGGGGGGAGGATGATGGTTTCTAGCAGAGCATCAGGAAGGAAAGGAAGCCTGAGACAGAACCTCTTCTCTTAATTTGTGCTTGAAGAACTGAGATTTCAAGAGACCGACTTCCTGAAGAGTGCACACTTAGTAATCAGAGTAGTTGTCACTTACGGGCTGGCTGGCCTAGTGTCGGTGTGGCTCTTCCTTCACCTTAACAATGATGATAGATGGATGGATTTACATAATGTGGTAGAGTTCCCCCCTTTCACAGTAAAGGGACTTGGTTTCCCATGGTTTCAGTTACCCAGAGTCAATTATGGTCTAATATGAAATTGAAAATTCCAAAAATAAACAACTCACAGGTTTTAAAGAAATGGCATGTGGTTTAAAGCACATGAATGATTCGTTCCTACTTGGGATTGAATCATCCCTTCATCCACTGAATCTACACTAAATAGTTTAACCTGTCTGTTAATCATTTAATAGCCCTCTGTGTACCACGGCAGTGTTTCACTTAACACATCCCAAAAGTGCAAGGATGACAATACCATCAGTTTGGGTATGTCAGAGGGAAGCAGTCAATGTGCTTCCTTTAAGCAAAAAAGATGAAAGTAGAAGATATTTTGAGAGAGACCACATTCACATTACTTTCAATACAGCATAGTGCTATGTTGGTTCCATTTCATGATTAGTTATTGGTAATCTAAGTGTGCTTAGTACATTAAACTTTGTCATAGATATATATGTGTATGCGTATGGTTTGGTTTACATATGGTTTGGTACCATGCATGTTTCAGGTACCACCCCTACAGGTAAGAGGCAAGAGTGGACCTCCATTGCAAGTGCTGCGGGAGTCTAGAGGAGGGACTCATCCTGACAAGACATCTCCAGAAGGGCTGAGGGTGCAGCTCAGTGGTAGGGCACCTGCCTTGCACATGTGATGCACTAAGTTCCATCCCCACCACTTCCAAAAGAAGAAAACAGATTTGACCAGGACTTTTTTCTAGGCAGAGGAGATAAATTGAGCCTTTTAGTCATGGCTAAAACTGTATGTGGCATCCTCAATCCCAAATTACTCCTCATTTTCCTATTGTCATCCCTCCTCCTTGCAGTGCTGAAGCTTTTTCATTTCCTTCCCAATCATTCTCTGTATTGTATCCATTTTGGAATACTTAGAAATTCTTTTTCTCTCTTCTCTGTTGTCAGAGAAACTTCTGAGTATTACCTTTTCCTCTTCATGGACTACTGTCAGTTTCTTCCTGGTCTACCTCCATGCTGCTGATCGTTACTCAAACCCATGGCTTGCTTTTGCCTTGCTGGGCTCACCTGCTGGCTCGGACTCCTATGCCTCCTCCCACGACTCTTGCCAGATTCCTTTGCCTCATAGGCTCTTGAGCGACTTCTGTGACCTTTTTTTTTATCTTGCTTGTCCTTCATGGACACCTAGTTTAAACTGTTGTAAGCTGGATCACTTTCCTCTCCTGCCATGTACCTGGCTTCACCTTTGCAGCTCCCATACCTCACTAGTTAAGGAGCCAACCATTCTTTCAAACATAAGATTCAAAGACCAATACAGCAATGAGTGTATACATACCTGATCAATTCAAGAAAGGAACATTCTTAAATTTTAGCACCTACTTGTGAGCCTCAAGCACAGTGCTATGCCTTGGGCTACACAACTGAATAAAGTTCAACTGTGAGCCTCCCTCCCTCCCTTCCTTCCCTTTCTTTCTCCCTCAGTGCTAGAGATCAAACCCTGGGCCTTGTGCATGCTACACCAAGTTACCCTTCTGCTCTTCCTCCTCCAACTTCTCTATATGTACAATGTATGTTCTTCTTTCCAAACCTTGTCTGATTTCTTTTCAGCCAGTGGTGATCTTCTGAAAAATCCTTGTCCCTTCCTCTTTTCCTGAAGAACTTGGTATTTCTTTTCTTGTATATGTCTCAAGTTTCATGTCCTGTGCCCTTCATGCTAGACATCTCCTCATGGGCATGGTCACTGCTGCCCTGTCCAGCTTCCCACCCTCTGACAGCTGGCACTCAGATCTGTTGAATTGTTGAGGGAGTTATAGCAAAAGTAATCTTTTTTCTCCCTTCCCATCTCAAGTTTGAAATGTAGACAGAGCTGCCAGAAGCGTTAGTCACTGTCAAGTCCTCACCGTTTTTAACCTCCCTCCCACTCTCCCTACCAAGCTTTTAAGACAGTAGCTCATAATTGATCACTCATTTTTCTGGTAGTGTAATTATCTAATGGGTGATAAAGAAATTGTTCTCCTACAACTCCTCACTTTGAATATTTGGAATATGACATTCAAGCTCATTCTCTTGAAATCCTTGCATTTTCTGTATCATATTTCTGCCTTGTCCATACATAGCATTAGATATAAGAGATAGCGAAAAAAACCCTATGGTTGGAGGCATGGCTCACTTGGTAGAGCACCAGCCAGTGAGTGAGTCCTGTTCTCTGACCAAAGGAAAAGAGAGAGAGAGAGAAGAAAAACAGACCTGGTACAGACCTGGAGTCCTACAAATAGGTCTCATACATTGATGTAAATGTAGAAGTTACTATTCTGTTGACACTGATTCTTCATGTAGATTCTGCATTTTCTTGACATTTTTAAATGACTTGAGGCTGTGAGGGTATATGTTCTAATATAGTTTTCCTGTTTTAGAGTCTTTTAGAAACCTGAAGCCATCCCAAGGAGTTATGTTCACCAGATCCTCCATTTTTGTTGTTGTTGTGGGGCTTGAACTCAAGACCTGGGCGCTGTCCCTGAGCCTCTTTGTGCTCAAGGCTAATGCTCTATCACTTGGGCCACAGCACCATTTCCAGTTTTTGAGTGGTTAATTGGAGATAAGAGTCTCTTGGGGTTTTTTCTGCCTGTGCTGGCTTCGATCTATAATCCTCAAATCTCAGCCTTCGGAGTAACTAGGTTTACAGGCATGAGCCACCTGCCAGGTCACCAACTCCTTCTATGCATGTAAAAAGTAGCTTAGGAGCTGGGATTGTGGCTTAGCAGTAGAGTGCTTGCCTAGAATGTATGGAGCCCTGGTTCAATTCTTCAGTACCACATAAACAAAAAAAGCTGGAAGTGGCACTGTGGCTCAAGTGGTAGAGTACTAGCCTTGAGCAAAAGAAAGTCAGGGACAGTGCTCAGGCCCTGAGTTAAAGCCCCAGGACTGGCAAGCCAGGTGCCAGTGGCCTATAATCCTAGCTACTTAGACTGAGATATGAGGATTGCCTTTCAAAGCCATCCTTGTGGGCAGAAAAGTCCATGAGACACTTATCTCCAATTAACCACCAGAAAATAAAACAACACCGAAGCGTTGCTGTGATTCAAAATGATGGAGCACTAGCCCTTGAGTGGAGGGGGGTGGGTAAGAAAAGCTCAGGGACAACGCCTAGGCCCTAAAGTTCAAGCCCCTGACTGACACTGCCCACCTCCCTCCAAAAATTGCTTTAGGTACCTATTATGGGAAGAAGAGCCCTTATGTTTTGTGAACGTTTTTTTCAGTTTCAACAAATTGCCTGCTTTCTTGTTGGGTTGACCACAAGCTGGTGAGCTACATAGTGTTAACCCTTTGCATCTTTGGTTGATAAATATGGAACCCACAAGTGCTAAGGACAGTAAAAGAGTTCACCCCAGAGTCTTGATCTCTTCTGGGTTTTTGCTACACCTGGAACCTTCCTCTCAAGGTGGAGGTCTTCTCAAAGAGAAGATTGTGGCTAAGATGTGAGCAGATCCTGACTCAGAGCCTTACTGCTCTGAGGCCTGTCCCCCAGCCCCTCCCGGAAGTGCACCAGAGCCAAGTGTAGGATGTTCTTTGTGTGAGTGAGCCATGATGCATCACTGGGTTTTGTTCTCTTGAATAGCTATTCTTTGCTGCTAAGATTTGTAGTTGTTCTTGTATCCTTTTAAGGGAAGTGTAATTATATTCTTTGCCTTTAGCATACATTTAACTAGTTGCTCGTCTTTGGAATTGGATGTTGAATTGTTCCTCCAGCTCATGCATGGAGTTCACAGGCTGCTGACAGTTGCTGTAGAAACGGTATCTGGCAGCTGTGACATAGTTGGAGCTTTGTGCTCTAAAAAAAAATTCCTTTGTAGGCCTTGGCAAATTAACATTATAAAAGGTACTTATTATATACTGGGTAGTTGGCTTTAAGAATAAAAAACAGTATTTATTTGCCACCTGAGGACCTACAAAAGGATTCTCCAGATTCTGAAAAACCACTTACATATTTTGTGGATTTTTATGGGTAATACAATTTTCTCAATTGGAGATAGAACACACTTTAGATCAGGTACCAGGGTTAGAGATTGAGCCCAAACCCTTGCACACACTAAACTGGTGCTGTACCCCTGAGCTACAAGTTGTAGCTTCTAAGTAAAGAAGGTACTTGAGCCTAGTACAACTAACATACTCTAAAATTCTCTTTAGTTTTGGGGACAAACTACAATAACTGATGACTTAAATTGGCGATGAACAGCAGGATTTCAAGTCTGAGGGTCTACTTTTATCTTTGTTCTTGTACAGATAATACAAAATCAAGTGGAAAGAAAGTTGTGGGCGATGTGGCGTATGAGGAGGCCAAAGAGAGGGCAAGCTTCATCACGCCTGTCCCTGGTGGTGTGGGGCCCATGACGGTGGCCATGCTGATGCAGGTACTTGTGATTATTCTAAAGACTAATGGAATCCTACTTGGCTGCCAGGAGACACACCATTAACAGAAGTTAGAGAGAGAAAAAGTGAATTTGTGGAAGGAAAAGAGAAAAATAGTATCAATCACATTCATTGAGGAAATGGCACAATTCTTATTTCCTTCAGAATACTGTAACTTTGAAAACAGAAAAGCAGAAGCATGCTCCCTTGGCTAGGTCTGTTTTGCTATGCATGGTCTGTGACATATTCGCTTGTGCCGGAAGGGACGAGCGTCCCTGAGCGTGGTAGGAGGTACATGTGGATTCAACCTAGAACTGGATGGAAATAACAATGAAGCAGCTCATTTTGAGATTGAACTGGAGTGAGCTGGATTTTGAAACTGGAGTCACCTGTTCTGAGTTCTTTTTTTTTTTTTTGGTCCGGTCGTGGGGCCTGAACTCTGGGCCTGGGCGCTGTCCCTCAGCTCTTCAGCTCAAGGCTAGCGCTCTACCACTTGAGCCACAGCGCCACTTCCGGCTTTTTTCTTTTTGCTTATGTGGTGCTGAGGAATCGATCCCAGGGCCTCATGCATGCAAGGCAAGCGCTCTACCACTGAGCCACCTTCCCAGCCCACCTGTTCTGAGTTCTATGTTATTTTGCTTAGAGCACAGTCGAGAGTGCACAGCGTTTCCTGGAGAAATTTAAACCCGGAAAATGGGCAATCCAGTATAACAGCCTTAACCTGAAGACACCTGTTCCAAGGTAAAAATGAATTTTCTTGATTTAAAACTTCATTGCTGTGCTGGATGTAATTCAAGTGGTAGAGCACCAGTTAGCAGGCACAGGACCCTGACTTCACACTTCAGTACAATTAAAAAAAAAAGCCTTTAACCCTGTGACTTACTGGTTTTTAGCTGACAGAAAGCGTGTGTATATATATGTATTGCTCCTACTGAAAGTGCATCTGTGGGTGGGAGGGGGGTTCAAGTCAGTGAATAAAGATTGATAACCTGTCTTCTGTGTTTTTAAAAGTGACATTGATATATCACGTTCTTGCAAACCAAAGCCCATTGGTAACTTGGCTCGAGAAATTGGCCTGCTCTCAGAAGAGGTAGAATTATATGGTGAAACGAAGGCCAAAGTTCTGCTGTCCGCACTGGAGCGCCTGAAGCACCAGCCCGATGGGAAATATGTGGTGGTGACGGGGTATGCATCTGCTCTTGTTTAACTCATCTTATTGCTGTCATTGGTGGCTGTATTTGCATTTAGTCTGCATAGGTAGAGGTACCCTTAATTTGGCTTTAGCAGTTTATTGATCCTTACAGAAACCCTGTGAGGTAAATAAGAGTAGAAGACACAGATGAGAAAATTGGTCAAAGTAACATAGGAAAATAGTTCAGTTTTAAGATAGGACCTTTTTTTTTTTTTTCACCAGTTCTGGGGCTTGAAATCAAGGCCTAGGCATTGCCCTGGACCTTCTTTTGCTCAAGGCTAGCACTCTACCACTTGAGCCACAGCGCCACTTCTGGTTGTTAATTGGAGATAAGAGTTTCACAGACTTTGCTGCCTGGGCTGTTAAACAAGATCAGTGCCTCTTCTTTTTTTTTTTTTTTTTTGGGGGGGGGGTCCGGTCATGAGGCCTGAACTCTGGGACTGGGCTTATCCCTCAGCTCTTCAGCTCAAGGCTAGCTCTCTACCACTTGAGCCACAGCGCCACTTCTAGCTTTTTTCTGTTTGTTTATGTGGTGCTGAGGAATCGAACCCAGGGCCTCATGCATGCAAGGCAAGCACTCTATCACTGAGCCACCTTCCCAGCCCTGATCAGTGCCTCTTCTGAACAGTCATTTTTATTGCTGATATACGTCACTAAGTTAAAAATAAAAGGTAGGGTTTTTGGCTTTGTTTTGTTTTGTTTTTTACTTTACTAAGCAATTGATCTACTACTGAGCTACACCCCTGATCCCAAAAATTAGCTTGTTGTTGCCTTGTTATTTATTTATTTATTTATATTGTGAAAGTACCGTACAGAGGGGTTACAATTACATGGTCAAGATAATGAGTACATTTCTTATCAAGTATTGTTGCCTCCTCCTTTGTTTCCCCTTCCCATACCCTGCCCCCTACCCGATCCTTCCCTGCCTTGTTATTTTTTAAAATTTATGCATTTATTTATTTATTTTGTTGGTCTCACGGACTTTCCTGCCTGGGCTGGCTTTGAACTGTGATCCTCAGATCTCAGCCTCCTGAGTAGGATTATGGGCATGAGCCACCAGCCCCCAGCTATTTTATTTTATTTACTTTTTTTGTTGTTGGTCACAGGGCTTGAACTCTGGGCCTGGGCCCTGTCCCTGAGTTCTTCAGTTCAAGGCAAGCGTTCTACCACTTGAGCCACAGCACCACTTCCAGTTTTCTGGTGGTTTATTAGAGATCAGTCTTATAGATTTTCCTGCCTGGGCTGGCTTTGAACTGTGATCCTCAGATCTCAGCCTCCTGAATAGCTAGGATTACAGGCATGAACCACCAGCGCCCAGCTGTTGCCTTGTTTTTTGTTTTTGTTGTTGTTTTTGCCAATCCTGGGGCTTGAACTCAGGGTTTGGGTGCTGTCCCTGAGCTTCTTTTGCTTAAGGCTAGCACTCTAGTATTTGAGTCACAGCACCATTTCCAGCTTTTTGTGTTTATGTGGTACTGAAGAATCAAATCTAGGGCCTCATGCATGCTAGGCAAGCACTCTACCACAAAGCCACCTTCCCAGTCCATTATGCCTTGTTATTGAGACAAGATCTTGCTATGTATGTAGTCCAGGCTGGCCTAAAACTCATGATGATCTTTTCAGCCTCTGAATGATTGAATTATAGATGAGCATCACTATATCTAGCTAAAGATAGTTTTTGAGAAACTGAAATTATAATATTTTCAATAAGGAAGCGAAAAGTGAATATATTTGCTTTGTACGGTAAGAACTAAAGTATAATAGAGCTGGGCGCCGGGGGCTCACGCCTATAATCCTAGCTACTTAGGAGGCTGAGATCTGAGGATCACGGTTCAAAGCCAGCCCATGCAGGAAAGACCGCGAGACTCCTATCTCCAATAAACCACTAGAAAACCAGAAGTGGCTCTGTAGCTCAAATGGTAGAGTGCTGGCCTTGAGCTGAAAAGCTGAGGGACAGCGCCTAGGCCCAGAGTTCAAGTCCCATGACCAGTAAAAACAAAAAAACCTAAAGTATAATAGTTTTGTTTTGTTTTGTTTTTTAAGCTTTAGCAAGGATTTATTTTAGTGCAGCAGAGTTCAGGTAGGGAGAAACAGAAAAAGGGAGCAAGCCAGGCACTGGTGACACAAGTCTATAATCCTAGCTACTCAAGAGGGTGAGATCTAAGGATCACAGTTCCAAGCTGGCCTGGGCAAAAGAGTCCCTGTGAGACTCTTATCTTCCTCTTATCTCCAATTAACCACAAAGAAAACTGGAAGAGCTGCTGTGACTCAATTGGTAGAGCATTAGCCTGCAGCACAAAGAGGCCGAGGTACAGTCCCAAGGCCCTGAGTTCAAGCCCCATAACTGACAAAGAAAGAAAAAGGGAGAAAACATTTCCTCTTCCTCATGCATGGGAGTTAAAGATTCCTGTTTTGTTCTTTTTAATTATGACTAAAACTCTTAGAAGATGTCTTATAGCACTTTTGGCTTTTTCTTTTTTCTGTTTCTTTCTCTTTTTTTTAGTCGGTTGTGGGGCTTGAACTCTGGTCCTAGGCACTATCCCTGAACTCTTCAACTCAAGGCAAGTGCTCTACCACTTGAGCCACAGCGCCACTTCTGGTTGTTAATTGGAGATAAGAGACTCACAGGCCGGCTTTGAAGCACAATCCTGAGATCTCAGCCTCCTCAGTAACTAGGTGCCTGGCCTGTTTCTTTTTTAAGAGACAGAGTTTTGTTGTATATTCCAAGCTGGCCTTGAACTTACCATATAGTCAAGGTTGGCCTGAAATTCTCAATCCTCCTGCCTCAGCCTCCTGACTGCTGAGATTATACTTGTGCATCTTTTCTTGCTGGTTTATCTTTCACTATAGGGATCCCAGCTAAAAGCTCTGGAGGTAAAAGAAGAAAATAATTTCCCTCCCCTACAAGGTTGTCCCATTAGATAAAGTCCGTGTATGGATCCAAGTGGTTTAAGAGGCTCTATGGAGGGTACAGTAAGTGTCAACATTAGGAATGTTGACAGGTAAGATTGGAGCTGAGTTATAGAAAAGATATATATATAGATTTTGGGCAGAGGAAGAACTTACAGGAAGAGAACAACACATGGGGGTCATGGGGCCAGGCGTGAGAATAGCCAGCAGTAGGAAACTGTAAGAACTGTAGTCCAGTCTGAATAATTAATGTTAATTCCTAGCTACCCTTTTTTTTTTTTTTTTGTCGGTCGTGGGGCTTGAACTCTGGGCCTGGGCACTGTCCTTCAGCTCTTCAGCTCAAGGCGAGCGCTCTACCACTTGAGCTACAGCACCACTTCCAGTTTTCTGGTGGTTTATTGGAGATAGGAGTCTCACGGTCTCTCCTGCCCAGGCTGGCTTTGAACCTCGATCCTCAGATCTCAGCCTCCTGAGTAGCTAGGATTACAGCCGTGAGCCACCAGCGCCCGGCTCTACCCTTTTTTTTTGAGGCAAGTTTATAAATTCTGATATTAATAGCAGACAGTGGCCAGTCTTGACTCATCTTTTAGGTATAGCATTCCCATACAAGGCTCATCTCTGACTGGCTTCCACTCAGAAAGCATGGAAAGAGTTTAATTCACAAAGCAGCCAAACATGAGAAACATAAGAGCCCCTAAATTCAAATCCTCCCTGAAGATAGGGGGCAGGGGTATTTATGTTACTGGAATTTAAGGTTCACAGAGCTTGCTGCTCTACAGAAAACTCAGGAGACAGGAGTCAATGGGAGGAAATAGATGTACCCAAAGCCCTCCCTGAAGGAAAAAGATGTTATAATTAAATGCAGTAGGTTCCAATCTTAGTGAGTTCAAAGCCAAAACCAGTACAGCCAAGAAGTAAGAGTTGAAACAGGGCACAGGTGGCTTGTGCCTATAATCTTAGCTACTTAGAAGGTTGAGATCTGAGGAATGTAGTTCAAAGACAGCCTGTGCAGGAAAGTCCAAGAGACATAAAGAAAAGGAAAGAAGAGTGGAAACATTTTAATGGCTAAGAAGAGCAGATCAGGAAGTTATTTCCACAGCAATGCCTTCCCTGATGCTTTTTTTTTTTTTTTTTGCCAGGCCTGGGGCTTGAACTTGGGGCCTGGGCACTGTCCCTGACCTGCTTTAGCTCAAAGCTAGCACTCCACCAACTGAGCCACAGCACCACTTCCGGCTTTTTCTGTTGATGTGGTACTGAGGAAATGAACTCAGGGCTTCATGCATGCTAGGCAAGCATTCTACCACTAAGCCACATTCCCAGCCCCTGATCTTCTTTCTTTTTGTATAGATTAAGACCCATTTTCTGCCAAGTGCTTGAGGTTGTGGTTCAAAGCCAAGGTGTGATTTGAAGCCAGCTGGGCAGAAAGTCTGGGAGACCCCATTTCCAATTAAATAGCCAAAAAGCAGGACTGGGGGTTCGATTCAAGTAGTAGAGGGCCAGCCATCAGTGAAAAGCTAATGGAGAGCAAATGCCAAATGCTCCCCACGGGATCAGGGGCAGGTCATTCTCTGGGGTGTGCTGCATCTGACTTCATGATTCAGAAAACTCAATTCTATAAACCTTTTCTTCTTTTGCTTTCCTGTTGAAGAATAACTCCAACACCCCTGGGAGAAGGAAAAAGCACGACCACCATCGGGCTGGTGCAAGCCCTCGGGGCCCACCTCTATCAGAATGTCTTCGCCTGTGTGCGACAGCCTTCTCAAGGCCCAACCTTTGGAATAAAAGGTATTTGCTGGGCTAGACTGGGTAGAGTGCCTGCCTCCCCTCAGTCCACCCAGACCCATCCCAGGGAGGACTCTAGGGCCCTCGCTTCCCCTGGAGGCCTGGAAGGTCCTCTTACAGCACACAGTAGTGACACAGTTGATACGTGATTTCATGTCATCACCCCTATTCCTGTCACTTTGCTATTGCACAGCGATTGTCCTGGGTGGGGAATATGCAACTGGAGGTGCCTCTGTTTGACCCTAGTAGTTTACTATCACATTAACAATGAAGATAGGTGGGCTGGGAATTTGGCTTAGTGGTAGAGTGCTTGCCTAGCATGCATGAAGCCCTGGGTTCAATTCCTCAGTACCACATACACAGAAAAGGCTGGAAGTGGCACTGTGGCTCAAGGGGTAGAGTGCTAGCCTTGAGCAAAAGAAGTCCAGGGACAGTGCCCTGGCCCCAAGTTCAAGCCCCATGACTGACCAAAAAACAAAAACAAAAAAAAAAGAGATAGTTCTAGTACTGGTTCATGATGATGCTGAGACACAGGCAGGGCTCTCCTCTCTGATAGGAAACAGAAAAGCCTACTCTTACTGCTTTGTGCAAAATACTATACCAACCAGTTTATATGTATTTCATTTTGTTCTACCATATGAGATAGTGTTACTATCCTTTTGTGTGTCTGTATGCTGGTATTAGGGCTTAAACGGAGGGCCTGGGAGCTGTGCCTTAACTTTTTCTCTCATGGCTGGTGCTCTTAACACTTGAGCCACAACTCCATTTTAGCTTTTTGCTGGTTAATTGGACATAAGAATCTCAGGGAATTTCTTGTCTGGACTTACTTCCAACTGAGATTCTGATCTGAGATCTCAGCCTCTTGAGTTACTAGGATAACAGGCATGAGCCACTAGCTTGTTAATCTAGAAAGTAAATAGGTGTGTGTGTGTGTGTGTGTGTGTGTGTTCCCACACGCGCACACACGTACGAGCGTTGTATGTACACATATGCACAGGCATGCTGGTCCTGGGGCTTGAACTCAGGTCCTGAGTGCTATTCCTGAGCTTCTTTTATTCAAGGCTAGAGCTCTGGCTTGCGTCAGAGCTCTACTTCTGGCTTTGGGGAGTATATCGTAGAATCTCACAGATCTTACCAGCTGCTTTGAATCATGATCCTCAGATCTCAGCCTCCTGAGTAACTAGAATGACAAACGTGAATCATTGGCAGTTCACTGCTCCTTTTTTGTTTGTTTAAAAAAATTTTTTCAGAACATTTATTTATTTTTGTGGTATTTGGTATTGAACACCAAGGCCTTATTCATACAAGACAACTACCCCTGAGCTATGCACCTAGCTCCAAACATGCCCTTGTAATCAAAACTGTATTTATTAATCATCAAAGGTTCTTGGAGTTAGCTTTATTATTGGCTCAGTGACAGGGTATCACATTGTACTTACTCCAGTAATTACTACAAAGGTTGACACCTGGTCCACCTGCTCTCCTGCCAACTTTGTGAAGGTACAGACTTCATTCTGGTTTTGAACTTGAAGGAGCCCTGCCCCTGGGCTGCTTACTGAACCCATTGGTCTCCTTTTCCTCTTGCAAATTCCCTCACTGCCTGGCCTCTGCCTCACAAAAATAAAATCTGTGCTCCAAGTTCACATGTGTCTCACCAATGATATGGTTTGAATTGAACATTTTTACTGGGCCTTTTGTTGATAATCCAAATGAAACAGTTGCAGTTAGTTTTCTTTCTTTTTTTGTTTTTTGTCAGTCATGGGGCCTGAACTCTGGGCATGGGCGCTGTCCCGCTCTACCACTTGAGCCACAGCGCCACCTCCAGTTTTTTCTGCTTATGTGGTGCTGAGGAATCGAATTCAGGGCCTCATGCTTGCAAGGCAAGCACTCTACCACTGAGCCACCTTCCCAGCCCTTGCAGTTAGTTTTCTAATCTATGTCTCTTAAGTTGAGAAGAATTGGAATTTGTGTGAGGCATGGGTACTTTAAATATTGCTCTCTCTCTCTCTCTTTTTTTTTTTTTAACCAGCGTAGCTTTGTAAGAGTAGGAATTGAACAGCCTTGCCTTTATGTAACTGTCAGCTGGATCTTTTAACATGTTAGGAATCACAGGGAACCTATTTCTAAAGATAATGAGTAGGTATGTATGCATGTGTTCATGGTTTTGTCATTTAAACTGGGATCTCAATTGAGAAACTATTCAGCATGAACAAGATCAAGTATTTTAGCATGGTAAAGGAAATTATAAAACTCTTAATCAAATCTATCCAAATGGTTGTAAAAAGTAAACAAATGACATGCCTAATAGTTATAAAAATCAATTTGTTTTTATTTGGATTCCAAGTCATGGAAGAATACTTACCATCTGTCCCTATGGTTGATCTTTCCCCTAGGCGGCGCTGCAGGAGGTGGCTATTCCCAGGTCATTCCTATGGAAGAGGTAAGGTAGTCCAGATTTGGCTGAATTAGATTAAGTTTTGTGGGTTTGTTTTTTTTGGGGGGGGCAGGAGGAGGGTCTTTTTACTGGTTGGTTTTAATTTAGCTTTTTTTGTTGCTGTTGATTTTGGTTGTGCAACTTGAATACAGGGCTTGGGTGCTGTCCCTGAGCTCTTTTGCTTAAGGTTCCACTTCTGGTTTTCTGGTGGTTAATTGGAGATAAGAGTCTCACAGACTCTGGCTGGTTTTGAATTGTGACTCTCAGATCTCAGCCTCCTGATGGCTAGGATTATAGATGTGAGCCACCAGCGCCTGGCATAGTTTTGTTTTTTTGATACTGAGTCTCACGAAGTAGTCTATCTAGGCTGGCCTTCTAGTCAGTATTTATGCCAGGCTGACTCAAACTCAAGATCTTCCTGCCTCAGCCTTCAAGTGCTGGGATTATAGGCATGTACCACCATGCCTAACAAGATTAAACTTTTGTTTTGAAAATTTTTAATAGAAAAATAACTTATGAACAGAAGCAACATAAGGGGAAACATTTTAATTCATAGAATTATGACACCGCTTGGTTTCAAATTCTGGCTTTCAGTGGGAATAATCATTTAAGCCAGTGAACAAATGAAACATGATATTGAGAAGCACTGGCCCACAGTGAGTTCAAAGTCCTAATGACAGAAATGCAGGCAATGTATGAACATGGAGCTGGAGCTGCTGCAGTGCACCTCCTCTTGCTCATTGCCTAAAGGATGTGAGTGTATCCTCAATAATCCTCATGGGCTGGGCGCTGGTGGCTCACGCCTGTAATCCTAGCTACTCAGGAGGCTGAGATCTGAGGATCGAGGTTCAAAGCCAGCCTGGGCAGGAGAGACCGTGAGACTCCTATCTCCAATAAACCACCAGAAAACCGGAAGTGGCGCTGTAGCTCAAGTGGTAGAGCGCTCGCCTTGAGCTGAAGAGCTGAGGGACAGCGCCCAGGCCCAGAGTTCAAGCCCCACGACCGACAAAAAACAAAAAAAACAAATAATCCTCATGGCTCTTAATCCCCATCATGCACTTGTGCTCTCTGGACATGTCATTTTGGAGAAACTGCCAGTTGTGTGTTTGAGAGATATTGCTTTGTGGACAGATGCCAGGTGTCTTTGATTTGGTCTCCATAGAATGGAGTTGAAAAGACTCATCAGCTGAAGACTGACATGGCTTCTGTTCTTTTGCAGTTTAATCTCCACCTCACTGGTGACATCCACGCCATCACTGCCGCTAACAACCTCGTTGCTGCAGCCATTGATGCTCGAATGTTCCATGAACTGACTCAGACAGACAAGGTAGAGTGCAGAGGACTGTTTGTTTGTTTTTCAGTACTGGGGATGAAACCCAGGACCTTGTACATGATGTGCTATATATCCAGCCTTTTTATTCCATTTTGAGACAGGATTTCACTAAGTTATCCTCAAACTTGCAATCAGACTAGCTCAGCCCCTCTAGTAGCCAAGACTACAAGTGTGCACCATTACACCTAGCCTGCAAGAGGAATTTTGAAAAGGCAGAAGCTCCTGAATTAAGCCTTGTTCCCTAGGGTGCTATGACAGGAAGCAAGACAGTGGGATTCCTCTCATTTAAAAGGCCATTTTTCTCCTTTTCTTGAAGGCTCTCTTTAATCGTTTGGTGCCATCAGTAAATGGAGTGAGAAAGTTCTCTGATATCCAGATTCGAAGATTACAGGTAAGCTTTTTTTTCTTCGTAATTTTTGCTAGTCTGTGAATTTGGCAAGTGATAAATGGGTAAAACTCACCTTAGTTTTTGGATCCAGTTGTAACGATAATCATAGTCTACTCAGAACCGTAAGATTTGAGGATTGCAATTCGAAGCCAGCCCAAGAAGTTTCCTGAGAGTTTGTGAGACTCTTAACTCCAATGAACACAAAACACCAGAAGTAGAGCCATGGCTCAAGGTGTAGAATGCCAGCCGTGAGCAGAAAAACTAAAGGACAACATCCAGACTCTGGGGTTCAGCTCCAGTACCAGCACTCACACACACACACACACACACACGCACACAAATTATTCACTATTTCAGATAAGTAGGCACAGAGAGCCTTGGAGCAGAAAACATTACAAACTTGGTGACTACTCCATGACATCTCCTCCTCATTTAATTCCCTGACCTACCTTGCTTTGTGACCCATGACTGGCACAAAAGCAAAACCAAAACCCAATGATCATAGTCTAATCATAGGTGACAAAGATCAGTGGTGCTGTTTCTTTTCTCATTTATTTCTGAATTACACCTGTTTAGGTGATGCTAGAACTTGAACTCAGTACATTTACAAGACATTTGCATTTCCAAGGCAGATGCTCTACCATTCGATCTATACTCTCAGCCTTTTTTTTTTTTCTTTATTTTTTTAAGATAAGGTCTTGCTGGGGCTGGGAAGGTGGCTCAGTGGTAGAGTGCTTGCCTTGGCATGCATGAGGCCCTGGGTTCGATTCCTTAGTACCACATAAGCAGAAAAGCTGGAAGTGGTGCTGTGGCTCAAGTGGTAGAGCGCTCACCTTGAGTTGAAGAGCTGAGGGGCAGCGCCCACCTCAGGGTGGCCTTGAGCCATGATCTTCCTGCATAGCTAGGATTATAGGTGTGAGCCACTGCACACTGCCTGATTTATTATAATGTGGGTAAGTCAGGATGCCACTGTGATAATACAGAGCCCTTAGTTTGAACCTCTGTACTCCCCAACATTAGGATCTTAAGCCGATTTGTTATGTGACTTATCTCTCTGTTTACTCATGTATAAAATGAAGCCAGTAATACTTAACCTTTCCCACCAAAGACAAAGGACTTTGGTGAGGAGTTAGTGATTGCTTTTATACTATGACTTTCTACAGCAAACACAAAGCCATTCCGTGTACACTTTACCACATGACCCAGAAATTTCACTCCTTGGCTTTTATCCAAGAAAAATGAAATTTTATGCTCACATAAAAAATCTCTACTGGAATATTTTTAGTGTCTCTGTGAATAATTTCCAAAATCTGAGAGTAATCTAAATGCCCTTTAATAGAGGAATATACTACATCCGTCCAATATAAAGTAAGGAGTTACTGATAGACAAAGCAACTTGGATCAGTATGAGAGGCAACCCTGAGCGGATGATGCCGGTCTCCGGAAGTTGTGTAGTGTACACTTCCATTTGCAAGACATTCTCAGAAGCACAGCACTGCAGTGCTTCAGGACACATAGCGGATGGCAAGGGGAGTTGGTAGAGGATGTAATTAAAATTCAAAGATGCATTTATATATATCACTATAGAAGGAAGGAAAGATGCATGTGTCTTTTTTGGTCAGCATCACACTTGTAAGCATGCAATAAATACTATGTACTGCTTGGGGCCAATAATAGTTTAATTCTTTATAACGTGTGTGTGTGTGTGTGTGTGTGTGCGCACGTGTGCGTGTGTGCATGAGGGCTGGGGATTGAACCCAGAGTCTTATGCACACTGACTACACTGTTCTACCACTGAACTGCCCTTCACTCATGCAACTTTATAGTTTGATGCTACAAGAGTAGTGTCATGAGCTCCCCTTACCCAGATGGGCACATTGCTGTAATTGGTTACAGTTCTATCTATATTTGTGTTTGAACTATTGAGCACAACTGGTCTTGAAGCTATTTAATCTTCGTTGGCTGATACTAGGTTTGTATGCACACTCACAAATCCTATACGTCAGGCAAATCAGTAGTTACTCTTCATTACAGCAGTCTTTGTGGAGAGGGGAATATCTCTCTAGAATTTTAAACCAAATACCTTGCCCAAGTCTCCAGTATCCCTACAATACCATCTAGAGAGACTACCTGTAGTCCTCAGTTCTATCTAGAGATAGAGTTCGAACCAGGCCTCCTTCCCTCCCTCTCTCCCAGGCGTTCCCATTGCATCATTTCACCATGATGCATACAGGGTGCTCAGTGGAAAGTGGGTTGCCAATGGCAGATTTTTGGCAAGGTGATTTTTGATGGTTTCCGTGAGCAGTGTCTGCTCTAGGTTCATAGGCTGTCTAAAGGCCGTGAGCAGCCAGCTCTGGAAGCATACATCTGTGAGGTTTCAGGACAAGTCTGACTAGCACAGGATGCCAGCTGTGGGCAGAGAAGATCTTGCTGGTCAAAGCTACCAGGAGTTACAAGAAAAGAGGAACATACTTTGCAGGCATTTTCCCTTTAGGGACATGACCTGCAGACTGTAAATAGGATTTCTAAATTCCATGAGGATAATGGAAACCCTTTTTATGCCTTTTGAAACAATAAGGAGTCAGCAAGAGTACAACAGCACATAAAAAGCATGTAAAAGTGATTGCATTGATTTTTATTGATCAATAGTCATTTCTGCCCTTCATAAAATTTCATTTAAATTAGCCTTCTCAATTTAAAAAGCTATGCGTAATTGCCTTTCAACATATTTGGTTTGGTGACTTGGGAAGTTCATTATAATAATACTTGTTGAAATCTGTGGTCTTTTAGGGCTGGGTAAGGAAATGTCTCTGGTGTTCAGTTTCAAAGACAAATGTGCATAATGCCTTGGTACACGTGTGACATGTGACTAGGAGATGCCCTGCACGCTTAGCCCAGGGACTGCCATTGCCCTTCTCAATAAAAGGTGGTTAGTATTCCGGTAAGGAATCAGTGTAGAGATTCAGTTTTGTTTTGTTTTGTTTTGATATTTCTACTTGTTTGTCTTACTGTGTTTTAATTCCTTCTTCTTTAGAGACTAGGCATTGAGAAGACAGATCCTACCACGTTGACAGATGAAGAGATAAACAAATTTGCAAGATTGGATATTGACCCAGAAACCATAACTTGGCAAAGAGGTACCTGAGCAGCAGACAGGACCCCGTGTGTCTTGGCTATATCACACCCCCACACCCTCCGGATAGATTGCTGAAATGTGGGTCAATGTTTCATGGCTAACAAATGGCCAAGATGATGAAGGCACATTTTCCTCATGCCTGTTAATGCCTCTCCTTATCAGCCCCTATCAGTCTTTCTTGGTTGAACATTTTTTGCTGGCTGTTCAGTGTTGATTAGGGTGAAGGTGGTTTCAAGGAGGCTCATGCATAAATCAAAAAATGTTCAAGTTGTCATGAAGTGGAGCTATTATTCACTTGGAATTATGTGCCCTTGCTGCTCAGAACATTTGCCTGGCACCCATGATTTCATTTTTCTTATGGCTCTGCAGCTTGCCTAAACATTTTTTACCTTATTTAAGAAAATTCTCCTGTAACAAATTAGGTAGTCTGCAAGGTTTAAGTACTTAGCAATTAGTGAGTGAGCCGCCGGTTTCACCACCATATGTTGCTTTTTCTATCTGTACAATTAGCATAGCTTTGAGATTTATTTTGTACCAACAGTACATCCATCTATTTTATGTCACGGCAGAGAAGAAACTTCATCTAGTAATGTAAATGTAGCTAAAGGCCAGTTTACTGAATGTTTTTCTAGTTTTTATTGGCATGGTAACTGGAATGGCATTTTTAAAACTGACACTTTTTTTTCTCTACTGAAGTTTGCACTTAGGGCCTAGACAGGTGCTATGCCACTTGAGCCACACCCCCAGCAGAAAAAATATGACACTCTTAATGTCTCAAACCACAATTGTATTTCTCCTTTGTTTCAGTAGTAATATTTTATAAGGAATAAGCTAAAGACCCATCTGAAAAATTATCTCTCTCTCTCTCTCTCTTTCTGTGATAGGTTCTTGCTATTTAGTCCAGGCTGTCCTCCACCACTTAATCCTTCTACCTCAGACTTCCAAGTGCTAGGATAATAGATGTGTGCCAAGCATGCCCAGCTATTTTTCCATCTGTGTGTGTGTGGGGGGGGGGGCATGTTCATGTTTTCTAAGGTAGCAGAGACCAAAAAGAAAATGAAAAATGAACAAAAGAGTGCACCTACTATTTTATATAGAAAAATGAGTTACAGGAAACTAGACATCATAGTTTGGGGAAACTAATAAGCTTCACTTAAGAGCACTGCCAAAGACGCTGCTCATGGATCTTAAATAATTATAGAATTTATGGAAAGAAACTTGGCAAATTAGCACATGCCTTAAAAATAATGCTTCTTGCCGGGTGCTAGTGGCTCACGCCTGTAATCCTAGCTACTCAGGAGGCTGAGATCTGAGGATCGAGGTTCAAAGCCAGCCCGGGCAAGAAAG